CAGTCTGGGCGACAGAGTGAGACTCCAACTCAAAAAAAAAAAAAAAATTTTTACCTTTTTATTTTTTTTGAGTCAGACTCTCACTCTGTCAACCCAGGCTGGAGTGCAGAGGCACACGACTCACGGCCACCACAGCCTCTACCTGCTGTGCTCAGATGATTCTTCCCCCTCAGCCTTCCAGGTAGCTGGAACCACAGGCATGTGCTACCATGCCCAGCTAATGTTTTGATTTATTGTAGAAATGAAGTCTCGCCTTGTTGCCTAGGTTGGTCTTGAACCCTGGGCTTACACAGTCCTCTTGCCTCTACCTCCCAAAGTGCTGGGATTATCGGCATGAGTCACTGCACCCAGCTGAGAATTTATCTTTTTAACTTTTGTATGTTGTTGTTCTCTGACCCACTCTCTCCCTTAATTCTTTTCCCCTCAGTGTCTACATCTGCTAGCAAGATAATTCCTCAGGGGGCCGACAGCACAATGCTTGCAACAAAAACTGTGAAACATGGTGCCCCCAGTCCTTCCCACCCCATGTCAGCTCCCCAGGCTGCCGCTGCTGCAGCACTCAGGCGGCAGATGGCCAATCAGGCACCAGGTAAAAACCGAAGCCCTATACCTTTCGGAAACTAAGTGTGAGCTGTCTGAGTCACAGGCCGGGACAGTAGATGGCAAGGAACAATAGACTGAATTGCTGCCCATCAGAAGAAAAGACCGATGTGATCGCTCTCTTTCTTTCTGGGGAGAGAGTTCTAAGAAGGCAGAGACCAAGTCTGAAATTTTTTCCTTTTTGGGGAATGTATTAGGTCTGCCACATAGTTAAGTGGGAAGTCTATGGTTGGTTGGTTGGTTGGTTTTTTTATGAAGTTGATAATCTCTCCCTTTGAATAATGTCTGCTTTAAGCCCTAAAAGTATTATCTTTGAAATAGATCCTCTACTATAGGATCATCTCATAGTATCTTACAGATTCTGACTACCTTTGCCATTTTGTGTTTGAGTAACGTAAGGTTCAGTAAGGTGAGGGTTATCTGACCAATAAGTAGCAGAACCCAGATTCCAACCCTGTGTTCTGTTTCAGTACAGCTTTTTTTTTTAACATTGTACATTCAGCCTTTCAGATGGAAACTCTAATAAGCTAGTCAGCACTTCAATGGTTTGTTCGTATCCCAAATTTTCTACTTAGGATGTAAGAGTCTAAGTCGGCCTCAAGGACTTCATTTATCATTAGTTATCAGTTTTATAAGCCAGTGGTTCTCAACCAGAGGCTATCCCCCCTCCTCCCTTCCCTGAAACTGTTGGCAATGTTGCTGGCATTTAGTGGGAATAAGCCAGGAATGCTGCAAAGAAATCTTTAAAATGCTTACAACAAAGGGTTATCTAGCTTCAAAATGCCAACAGTGCCAGTGCCAAGGTCAGGAAACTCAGATGTAAGCCAAATGTTTTTGTTTTAGCTGAATAGAATTGTTTTTTAGTTTTATCACTGCTTAGAACACTAATCAATTTAGAGTTCTCTTTAAAAGGTTAGAAAGACATGGTTTGATTCAGGCAAAAAAGAACTAACATTGAAGAATGATAAGTTGACAGATTTTTAAGAAAAATTCAAATATGAAAGCCCTCTTAAAATACCTAAAATAGATATTGAAAAACAAAAATAAGATAACTTTTTAAGGTACTTTTGAGCTTTCTGGAAGTAGAATTCTTTGTTGTTCTTTTTAAATATTACTTGGACCAAGCAGCATCTTGGCATTGTGCTGAACAGGCCAAAAACCAGGCTGATTATGTTGATTATTTGTAAATTTAAAATCTGTTCTGCTCTCAGCAGGAGGTGGTGTGATCTTCAATATCATGTTGAAAGCAAAAATTCCTAAGGTGTAGGCACCTTTGAGTGTGAAATACGAAATATATGCAGTCATAGGCAAGATGTTCCCGCTTGCTTCTGTAAAGGAGAGAATAAAAGAAAATGACCACAAATCTAGCATTCTACCTGGGATATAGCTTCCGCCTTTGCCAGGAATATAGTTCAAAATAATTCAAGAGCTTAACTAGTCTTTCTTAATAGTTAATTATAGAATGTCATCAAGTCTTCTGGAATACAATTTACAATTATAAGACACAAAGAGAGGTAAAAGCTGGGCCAGGCGCAGTGGCTCACGCCTTTAATCCCAGCACTTCGGGAGGCCGAGGAGGGAAGATCACTTGAGCCCAGGGGTTCGAGACCAGTCTGGGCAACATAACGAGACCCCGTTTCTATTTTTAAAAAAAGAGAAGTAAAGCTTATAAGATAATATAGATGAGTTGGTGTCAAATACATGCCTGTTGCTGCTCCTGAGTTCAAGCTTCATGGCTTCTGCCCTTGACTTCCCCAAGCTCCATTTTCCATGTATTAGCCATTGTGCCTGTTTTTGTCACTAAGCATGAGCTCCCTTAGGAAGGCAACTATAAACACCTTTTGTGTTCTCAGCCCCTCCACAGAGCCTCTCACGTAAGCTCATGTGAAAGAAAGGCAGAATGAATGAGAGGTGGAAACGCTGAATCTGCATGCTGTTAATTCTCCAGCCCTTGCTGCCCTTTCCAAGACGAGCCAGCAGTGTGGCAGGCATCTCAGATCTGTGGGAAAGCTGGCCCGGGAATTCTCCCCAACCTCAGGTCTATTGACTAAATGGCAGGAAGTCTTATCCTATGGCCTGTGTTAACAGAGTAGACCAGGTATTTCATTGAACACAGTGCTGCAGAGCCACCTGGAGTAGCTGGCTTTCCTTTATCTGATGAGTCCATAGCCTGCTTATTTATTTGCACATGGCTAGAATTTTTTATCCTTTGCTGCAGGGGTCTTCAACTCCACAGACTCGGTAGACTGGTACTGGTCCGTGGTCTGTTAGGGAGGTGAGGGCTGCACGGCAGGAGGTGAGCCGCGAGTGAGTGGAGCTCTACCTGTCAGATCAGCGGCAGCATTAGATTCTCATAGGAGCGTGAACCCTGTTGTGAACTGCACATGTGAGAGGGATCCAGGCTGCGTGCTGCTTATGAGAATCTAATGCTTGATGATCTCCTCCGCCCCCCTCCCTCCGTCTGTGGAGAAATTACCTTCCATGAAACCAGTCCCCAATGCCAAAAAGGTTAGAGACCGCTGCTTTACTAGACCTTGGAGCCTTGGTATGCTGTTTAGACCAAGATGGTATTTGTGGTTGTGCAAACTTTTCTCTCTCTTCTGTATTTAAACAGCTGTAAACACTTTGACAGAATCAACTTTGAAGAACGTCCCTCAAGTGGTCAATGTGCAGGAACTGAAGAATAATCCAGCCACCCCCTCTGCAGCAATGGGGTATGTTCTACCTTTTCAATGTGTTTTAGCCAGTGACTTCTGTAGTGTCAGCGGACTGCCTGCAGGGAGCAGCATTGCCACTGTCATATCTGACTGGTTTTCCTGCACAGCCCTGGGTTCCAAAGCAGGGGGCAGCTAAGCCTGCCCACACAGGTTTCGGGGGATTGTCCTTTTCAGCGGGCCGTTAACAGTTGCCTCGTAAGCCGTTACTGTCCATCTTGGTGCTGTGTGCTCAGCTTGCCATTTACCATTTGTAAGTCTAGATGTAGTACACGTTAGGTGTGTAGTTTTGTTCTGTTCTGTTTTTTCATATTCCCAAGGTTCCAGAGGTGACGCTTTAGGTTTGATGCAGACTTGCTTCTGGAAACTGGGATCTCGAGGGCAACAGTCTCCTCCTTCACTCCCCTTCTCCAGGCATGTCTGTTCTTTCCATTTCTTTTGCTTTCATATGAAAAAATGGTCTTTGGAAAGGCAGCAGCTCTGTTTGGAGACTCCAGCTTCTCTGCCATCCATGTCTTAGGGCTGGGTTGTTGCTGCCAAAACTCACTTGTCTTTAGTCCTCGTCTGTGATCAGAATTTGAGGTGCTGGCTCCCTCCTGCTTCTCTGGGCAGCATGGGTCACACAACACACCTGGGCTTTGCTTTGCCCTGCATGTGTTGTGACCACACACAATCCCTTTAGACCAACCACCGTCCCCTGTGGCATGGGACATTTCCTCAGTGTGAACGTAGGGATTGTGGGGACCAGTATCAGACTCCAGGGAGTTTGTGCCTGGGACCTGTGATTAGTCTAGCAGCTGGAAGGGCAGGCACAGACCCTGTGGTTTCTCCACAACGGGCCCGATCTCTGGCTCCCCCACAGAGAAGGTCTGCTCACTGTTTTCACTTTGTCGAGTGGGCCGCTTCACTGGCCTGCTGGCTTTCTCTTTTTTCTGTGTTGGTTGTTCATCAACACTGCCTGTTCAGGGAATTTTTTGGTTATCTCAGGGCCAAACTAACAGTCAAAAGACAAGCTTTCCCACTTTCCTATCTCGTAGTGACCTCGAAGCCTTGGTATGCTGTTTAGACCAAGATGGTATTTGTGATTGTGCAAACTTTTCAAGGGAAAGAGCTGTGCCTTCGAGCTGGGGACTGTAGCCAGAGTCCCGGCATGGGGAAGGCAAGGGAGCCCCTGGAAGGCAGAGTACGATGTAAGACGGGAAGCTCCAGCATGCGGCAGGAGCATGATCTGCTGTTGCTGAGATACATCATTACTGGCCGTGTGTGAGAGGCACCCCTTGCAGGGCTCTTCACCTTCTTTCAAGCTCTGTTTCCCTCAGATGGTTTGTCTGAGCTGATCTTCGATGAGGGCTCTGTTCAAGGAGCAATTTTTTTTTTTTTTTTTTTTTAAGTCAGAGTCTCACTCTGTCGCCCAGGCTGGAGTACAGTGGCATGCTTACGGCCATCACAGCCTCAATCTCCTGGACTCAGATGATCCTTCCACCTCAGCCTTCCAAGTAGCTGGAATCACAGGTGTAAGCCACCATGCCCGGCTAATTTCTTCTTTATTTATTGTAGAGACGAGGCCTTGCCTGTTGTCCAAGCGGGTCTCCAACCTGTGGGCTCAGGCAGTCCTCTTGCCTCCACTTCCCAAAGTGCTGGTTTACAGGCGTGAGCCCAGCCACAATAGGAATCTTCAGAAACTTTCTCTTCCTTTCTCCACAGAATTGGACTCTCGTATGATTGTTTAATGTGCTGCATGGTGCCTGAAACAGAAATGTTGTTCCTTCTTAAAAACCGTTTATTGAATAATAGCTGAACTCTACTCCAAACACAATTGATAAATGAAAATTGGCATTTACTGCCCTGCCTGCCCTCACCCCTGCAAAGATTGAGAGGGGAGTATGTTCAGTGTAAATGACTTACTTTCAGATTCTTTGAGACAGTAGTTCCTAAGTGTGTTTCAAGTATCTAATTTGGCATTTACGTTTTTCTCATTAATATCTTACAGAAGGTTTACTATAGGATGGGCTTACATACTTCTGCCACTGGTGTATCTTATGTTCATTGGTTGTAAACTGTTTTATTCATTGACTAACCATCATGTTTCATGTGAGAATATTTGGCGCCAGTCCTCAGCTGTTTGTACTCCTCTTCAGTGCTCAGTCAGTTGATTCACCAAATTCTTACACAGTATCTTTTATGAGCATGCCACTGCCCTGGGTACTGGGGGAAACAGTAGCGCATAAAACACACCAGGGCCCCATTTTCATGGCACTTATATTTTAGCAAGAAGATGGCCAGGAAACTACCAATTGCACAGCTATTTAGCTGCAATGTAGTAAACTCTGTGGAGGAGGAGTCCAGAGTGCTAAGAAAGTCAGTAACGAGTCAGTCCAACAGAGTTGGGTTGGGGAAGGAGTTTGATAAGGAAAAGATCTTTTAGTTGAAATTTCAACAGTGACCAGAAGTTGGTAGGCAAAGAGTGGCGAGAAGAGTCTTCTGGATGGGGCTGCAGAAAGTGTGAAAGCCTAAGCTGGGGAAGGGCAGGAGTGTTTGAGGTGAAGTTGAAAGAACCCATTTCCCTGATGGTTAATGATGTTGAGTGTCTTTTCATGTGCTTATTGACCATTTGAATCTTCTTTGAGAAATATCTACTTAGATTCTTTGCTAATTTTGTTTTATTAAATTATTGGCTTTTTATTGGTGAACTGTAAGATTCTTTATGTAATCTGGATTCAAGTTTCTTATCAGGTATATCGTTTGCAAATACTCTCTCCCATTCTTTGGGTTGTTTTCACTTTCTTGGTGTGTCCCTTGACACAATTTTTTCTGGTTTTGGTTTTTTGTTTGTTTGTTTGTTTTGAGTTAGAGTCTTACTCTGTCATCCAGGCTGGAGTGCAGTGGCATACTCACAGCCACCCCACTACAGGCATGCGCTACCACACCTGGCTAACTTTTTGATTTATTGTGGAGATGAGGTTTCACTAAGTTGCCCAGGCTGTTCTTAAACCCGTGGGCTCAGGCAGTCCCCTCACCTTGACTTCCCAAAGTGCTGGGAATTTTTTTTTTTTTAAGAGACACATCTTGCTCTGTCACTCAGGCTGTGGTGCAGTGGTACCATCATAGCTCAATGTAACCTTGTTTAACTTCAGACGCCTGAGCTCAAGTGATCCTCCCACCTCAGCTTCCCAACTGTAGCTGGGACTATAGGTGCACATTACCACACTTGGCTTCTTTGTTTGTGTGTGTGTGTGTGTGTGTGTGTGTGTGTTTGTTTTGATAGCATTTTATAGTTTTAGCTCCTTACATTTAGGTCTTTGATTCATTTTGAGTTAATTTTTGTAAATGGTGTGAGGTAGGGGTCCAAGCTTATTCTTTTGGATATGAATCTCATCTAGTTGTCCCAGCACCATTTGTTGAAACAACTGTTCTTTCCCATTGAATTGTCTTGGCACTCGGTTTTTTAACATTAAACCAATTTTTGGTAATGATGCATTGCCCTTTTTATATATAGTTGGAGTTAGTTTGCTACAATTTTGGTAAGAATTTTGGTATCTGTCCTAAGGAGAGATATTGATCTGTAGTTTTTCTTTTCATGTACTATATTTGTTCACTTTTGGTCTCAGAATAAGGCTGGTCTTACAGAATTAGTTGGGAAATATTTCTTCCTCTTCAATTTCCTGTAAGAGTTTATGTAGACTTGGTATTATTTCATTCTTAATTGTTTGATAGAACTCACTGGGCTTGGAATTTTCAGTTTCTTTAGTAGATATAGGACTGCTCAGGTTATCTTCTTCTTTAGTCAATTTTGGTAGTTTGTATTTTTTAAAGAATTTGTCATTTCATCTAAGTTGTTGAATTTATTGGCATAAATTTTTCATAATAGTTCCTAAATATTAGCCTTTGAATGCATGTAGAATTTATAATTATGTCACCTCCTCCTTTCCTGTTAGTGGTAATTTGTGTCTTCTCTTTTTCCTGATTAGCTTGGCTAGACGTTTATCAATTTTATTTACCTCAAAGAACCAGCTTTTGGTTTCATTTATTTTTTTCCTGTTGTTTTTTCACTCGATCTTGATTATTTTACTTTTCTACTTGGTTTTTATGTTTTGTTTTGTTTTTTTCAGTGCAGGGGACTTTATTGATGGTACATGACAAGGTAGGACTCCCTAGGTCCCCTTCCCCTGTAATTCTTTAGGGGATCTGGCATGGACAATGTGAGGAGGGGAGATTCTCAGTGTGGTCGGGGACTGAGTGTGGCAGGGACTCTTCAGCAGGTGAGGGATTCTCTCTTCCTCTTGTGCCCTCACTGGGACTGGTGATCCGGGGGCTCTTACTTCTTGCAGGCCATGTGGACCATGATGTTCACCACCCTGTTGCTATAGCCAAATTCATTGTCATACCAAGGATGAACTTGACAGAGTGGTTGTTGAGGGTAATGCCAGCCCCAGCATTAAAGGTGGAAGAGTGGGAGTCACTGTTAAATTTGAAGGACACAACCTGATACTCAGTATAGCCAGGATGTCCTTGAGGAGGTCCTTGGATGCCTGTTTCACTACCTTCTTGATGTCATCATATTTGATGGGTTTCTCCAGATGGCAAGTCAGTCCTACAGCAGACACACTGGTGGTGGGGACATGGAAGGCCATGCCAGTGAGCTTTCCATTCAGCTCGGGGATGACCTTACCCATGGCCTTGGCACTGCCGGTGGACACAGGGATAATGTTCTGGAGTGCCCCACGGCCATCGTGCCACAGCTTCCCAGAGGGGCCATCCATGGCCCTCTGAGTGGCAGTGATGGCATGGACGGTGGTCATGAGTACCTCCATGATGCCAGAGTTGTCGTGATGACCTTGGTTGGGGTGGCAGCTAAGCTGTTGGTCGTGCAGGAAGTGCTGCTAACAATCATGAAGTTGTTCTGGTACTTCCCGGGGTTCATGTCCATCACAGACATGGTGGTGTCAGTGGAGGGGGTGGAAGTGATAGCCCTTTTGGCTCCCCTCTGTAAGTGAGCCCCT